TTGATTTTGCTTAATTTAAGAATTAAAATTCACATAAGTTTGATAATGCCCATAATGCCCTTGAGGAGTTTTAAATCACAAATGGTTTAAGTGAGGGTAGTTTGGACTTTAGGCTATTAGAATGAGGCTTCCACTCTAAATAGGGGACCGAAATATTTCGGTCCCACATCCTTGCTTGCGACAAAACCGAGCACGAGAGGAAAGGGGCGCGGGTAGGAGGTGGAGCCGGAGCTTTTAGGGGCGGTTTCCGGCGGCGTTTCGCGAGGGAGATTGAAGGGAACTCGTGTAGAAGAATAAGGTAAGTGGTTTGCTAGTGTTTCGTTTCCTTTTCTTTGAGTTTTCTCTAAAGAATGAAATTAGGGTTTGGTGGAAATGAGAGATTTCTTAGAGAAAAGCTTAGGGGAGGGTTAAGGGATTTTTTTTAAACTTAAGAATGAAATGCTTTCACTAAAATTGTGGATTTCAAAAATTATGGTTTCCTCATTATTTTCTTTTCTTTCAAATTAGTTTTGTAGGATAGTTTTTAAATGATATTAGGAGGTCCATAATAGAAAAATAATGCATTTTCGTGAAGAAATTTTAGGTATGGAAATTAGGGTTTTTCCCTAATCGTAGAATTTTTTAGCTTGAAGGTTTCCTTTAGGTTTGAGAAGACTTTTAGAAGCAAACTTAGGACTCTTACATCAAAAAAACCAATTTTCCTATTTTTGGTATTTAAAAATTCCGAAAATAAAAGTTAATTTTAAATGCTAATTGAGTGTAAGGAATGGTGTGTGTTTCATTTAGGTATTGAACGCGTGGAAAGGAAGAGTTCGTAAGGATAATTGGCGGCGCACATTGTTTTGAGGTAGGTAAATGTGACCTTTTAAATTTAGAAGAAAATTTCAATTCTTTCCCCCATAGCATGTTTTATAACATTATGAAAATGTTTAGCATTCTTCCAATCGTACTGCTTTTATATTTTATTATGCTCTAAATATCATGCACCTGTTCCTATGGTTGCCTAATTATATGAATTCATTTGGAAATGGTTTAGAGACAATCGAGCTTAGACTTAATATTATACATAAGTTCTTACTCATGTGTTATCTTACATTGCAAGTACATCTCTCATGTGATGGTATATAATGCACTTGTTTCTTTCTAAAGTGATGAATTAAGAATGTACTTAGCTCATTTTATTTCCTCATGCTAACATGAAATCATGTAGCACATTAGGAGGCAATTGATCATATGCATGAATGAGAATATTCCTATGAATAATTAAAGAACGAATGTATGTGCATGTTGATGAGGAGATATCTTTGGTAAATGGATGCTCTTCCGAGCATTGGTAAAGGTGGTTCTTATGAACCAAATGGTAAAGGTGGTTCTTATGAACCAAATCGAAAAGGAATGGCCAAACAAATTATACCTGATCAGTACAAAAGATATCTCCGAGACGGGTGATTACAAGATGCATATAAAACATCTTATGATTCATGAAAACAATTCATGTATTATGTAAAGTGATTGGTTGCAAGCTCAACTAAAGAAAGAGGCTTAATGGTTCATCTAGAGGCATGTTACTTAACTTTTATGATTTGTTTAATGTTCCTATACAAAGCATTGACATACATGTTATTTCCCTCGCCTTGTTCTCTAAATTTAATTGAAAAAGCATTTGCCTATTGAGTTATGACTCACCCATATTGTGGGAAATTTTCAGGAGGATCGAATAGAGGATAGATAATGGCATGTCAACCACCGCGTACTTACCGTCATAGGGAGACGACGGGCGACAGGTTCTTTTGAGTTTTGTTATTTTCATGATAGAAGATTATTGTGTAGATCTTTGTGAGAGTTAGATTTATATGGATCCCTTCTTTTGGAAGAACTCTCTTTGTATATATTTCTTTTGAAAGATGAATGAAAAGTGAAAGTTTTAATTGGATTTACTTTAGTGGCTCTTTCATTTTATAGTTGAAAATGTTTGGTTTATGTTAGATCTTTTGATGTTATGCTATGAAGGTTTATTCCATCCTGTCCGACCTCTGTTCCCGCCTAACACTTGCGAGCTAACCGGGCCGGATCGTGACAGATGTAGTGGACATGAAGTTGGGGAATACAACCCAAACTGAGATAATATGAGGCTCCTCAAATATATCAAAATATGGAGACCACTTTAGCATACACATCAATAAATCATTCATTTGATATGAGTACCAACATAAAATCCTTGAATAATCTAATTCCAAGGATAGTTTAAAAAGTACGTGAAGGTGATATGAAATCCACCAGTGAAATCACCAGACTAATGAAGATCATTCATGAAGCAATGAATCATCTCCAAACTTGGATGGCCAAAGGAAAATTTTCCAACAAAAGAGTAGAAAAAAGGAGTTATTAGATCAAAAAGAAAATTCTCAAAAAAAAAAAATTTTGATTTACCCTAAAACATAATGTGTGGTTGTATCGCGCAAAGTTCTGATAGCTAAAAGAACAAAGAAAACAAGAAGGCAGATCCTACATAAGAAAGTGGGAGCTGACATGACGATGAGGTGGACCCTGAATAGCCATTGGACCATCAAGAGAAATGGTGAGGTTGAGTTGCCAAGGACAAAGAAAGAAGCTGATTCACAATGTTGGTGTTGGGAAGCGATGGCAAGGGGAGAAAAAATGATCCAAGCAACAAGATGGAAGATGAGCTCCACAACGGAACATGGAGAAGGGTTGCCATGAGTCACCAATACCACATGAGGAAGGGACAAGAGACCAAGCGCTAGAGTAGCACCAAATTGACGCAAAAATCCTCTAGTAGCACAAAGGAGCTTCGATCACGATCAGGGCAATCATAATAGGTTTTGTGCACTTAACTAAGGTTTTTCATGGGCCCCTTTCCTCTTTGTGTGATAGTGAGTCCTCCCTCCTAAGTTGAACTAGATTTCCACTCTCCTCTACTCCTAGTAGCTTCTCAAAATATTTATGATCTGTAGCCTTTGTCAAAGAGCCCTATGCTTCACTCATGTCCTCCTTCCACTCTCTTCACTCATGTCCTCCTTCCACTCTCTCAGATATTTCCTCTATCTCTAACGTTCACGAAGCTCTCTTATTCATGCATGATCTTTCAACTTCTTCTATAGTTTCTCCCTTAGATCCCATCTTCATACATTTCCCTCCACGCTTCCTTTAATCTATCATTCCTATTGGGGGTGACACATCCATCTCCAAATGAAAATTTGGAGCAGCAAAGCTTACATATGCTGCCGACCTCTAATTTTGCAACTCACCACAACTAGAAGGGTCTCCTAAGTTCACATTTCCCAAGCTCCAAAGACTCATCCTTCCCTTTGTTAAATCTTCGGACCGTAAGGATTGGTTCTCATTTTAGAGGGTGCCAAAGTTTGTAACCTTGCTCTCATTGGATATGCTACAAATAAAAAACGTCCTCACTATGGTTCCTTCTTGGCTTCAATGATGAAATTGTGAAACCTAAATGGTAATATTGATCTCCCCACCCTCTCAGAAGGTTTTTTCAATTCAATTTCTCTTGCATGGAAGACTGAGATTATTTGGAGCAGGGGTTTCTGGTTCATTAAATGGGAAGCTTTTTATCATCAAGAAATGTACATAAAACTTCAAGCCTATCAGAGAAAACTTCATTGAAATCCTAATTTGGCTGAAATTACATAATTTCCCTCTTTGTCCTAGAATAAGGAAGGGATCTCTAGGGTTGCTAGTACGATTGCATAGCCTTAGCTGCAGAAAATCTCATCGCGTCATAGTTTTGCCTCATTTTAGCTAGGGTTTGTGTTGAGGCAACACCCTTCTCCCATTTACCTGTAAAACTATGATCGATGTCAATGGTACTGAGCTGTGGCATGAGGTGGTTTATGATACAGCTTACTCCTCTCGACAAACCTTTGAACATAGCAATGGATCATGCCAAATTACAAATTCCCACCAAACTCAATATGCTCGTCAATAAAGCTATTTGGAGATGCAACAAAGCTGCTTGCTGAGTAGGAAAAGTTGATTTTTACTATGAAATCATTTGGTTTGCTTTCCGTTAAAGATCATGCTTTGAAAAACAAGGAAAATCTTTCAATACATCACTTGGATGAATGCAGTAAGACACTAAAATTGATTCTCTAAACTCCACATACCTTCTCAAAACTGTATCCAAAATAATGATAACATATGAAAGTGAAATCATCATTTTCTAATTCTATTTACAACTAAGCAATCAAATGAGCCCTGTACAAAGAAATCAAAAGCCTAGTAATAGCATGCAAGCATTTCTACTGCCAAAACACAAAAAGGATGGAATATGCATAAATGAATTAAGAAAAAACATAAATGATCGTCATCTAACTCATGAATCAAATAAAGTCTCAAAAGATGAAGGGGGTGTTTGGTATAGGATTGGATTCAATTTTAGTAGGATTTACTAAATCCTGTAAATCCAGATTTAGTAAATACTGGGCTCATAAATCCTGAATTGTGTTTGGTATGACAATTTTTAAATCTTGTTAAATCCAGAAAGATGTTTGGCAACAGATAACAGGATTTAAAACGGTTGAAGATTTAAAATTGAAGGAGAAATATGAAGCCAACTAATTATTTAACTAATAATCCTACTAATTATTTAACTAACAATTTAATTGCCATTTTATTAGTTTTAATTATAAATTTAATTATTAATTATATCATTAATCACTTAATAATTCTACGGATCATTAATTATTCAATTATTATTTATATTATTAATTATATGTTTAACAATGTATATTTTAAATTATATTAATTAAGATAATTATGCTAATTTTGTAATTACTTATTATATTACTAACTATTTAATTAAGTTAAATTAGATAATTAATTCATACACTAATTACACTATTTATTACAACAACAACAACATCAAGCCTTTATCCCACTACGTGGGGTCGGCTACATGAATCCTTTTTCTCCATTGTGTTCTATTAGTAATGGTTATGGCGTCTAGGGATTGCTTTTACTTGTTAGTCCTTGCTGTTCGGCTTCGTTGCTTCAAAGGCGAGCGCCGAAAGGTGGCTGAAGGGGAGCAGGAGTGTTCGCGTGTTGTTCGACTTCGTCGCTTCTTCGGCTCCTTCGTTGTTGTTCGAATTCGCTCCTTCAACGACGTTCCCTTCCTGTAGGATCGGACGTTACAACATTTTGATCTGAAGCAACCACGGAAGCTCGCTCGCTCGCTGTGAAGGTAACTTTCTCCCTTTCGCGCAATTCTTCGGCCAAATCCCGTAAATCCGAGTAGAAGCGGGATTTGGATTTACAAGGATTTACCGGATTTACTTGCGGCCGTAAATCCGCAAATCCTGGATTTACGGATTTGCCGGATTTACAGCGCCATTTTTTGCGTTTGGCTGGATTTACCGTAAATCCTACTTAAAACGGGAAATAAATCCAAGACCAAACACCCCCTTAATCTCTGAATCAAAACATTTGTTAGAAATTGTTCAAAAAATGAAATTTATTCATTGCTTTAGTTTCCTTGAAAATGTTTGGTAGCATTCATGCTTGTAATAACATTAATGAAAATGAAATTAGTTTAGACTTATGGGTCTAAATGTAACGGAATAATAGTATTTTTATGATAATGCGTAAGGAATTTAATGGTGATTTTTTAATTCTTTAGCTACTATGAATGCTTATGTTAAAGCTATTTCAATACTTTTCCTTCTTCCTATATTATTTTAAAGAAGTATCGCAAGAATTAATCAAATGTGGAGGAGCTTAGGAAGATGGGATCAACAATTTTACATGAAATTAATGCAAGACAAATGAAATATGATGTTGAGCTAAGCAACGAAAAGGATGATATAATTTTCTTCAAATCATGTATTTATTGTTATTGGTTTCTATTTTGATACAAGCAGTAGTTATTTACCAAACACATTTATATAAATTTCATAAACTTGAGTTATCACACATATTGTTTCTCTATTTATCACATTTTAAGATATGTGAGAGTATTGACCTTGATCTTGTATGGAATAGTTGAAAAATATATTAATGTTTAAATATCAATTAGTTAGCCTTCAATCATAGGCTTAAGTTTTAAGATGTCAAATAGTTTTCTTTATTTTTTTATCATATATTTACATCATTTTTTATATAATTTAAATGATATTTAGAAAGTTTTAATATTTATTATGTCATTGGTTAAACCATTAGTTAAATTTCATTTGAACTTTTAAATTTTGAACATTTCCTTCTTCTAGTTTAATGTCAGGTCCAATTTTTAGAACCGTCATGGTACTTGAATTTATTGGGATGAAAAATGAGCTTTGATATCCCGGGCTCAGCTAGATTCAAACAACTAGAATCTGGATAATCTAAATTATCATTAATGGTTTTGGGTGCTTTGGATCTAGTCCTAAGTTTTAATTGGAAAATTCGAACTGATCTTTTTGAAGGCTTGAATCTTGTTGACTCAATCCTTGTCATATGACTTGAATTGAGATAGTTTGAGTTTCAAAAAATTCAATTAGAAGTTGCATTTGATTATGAATTTGAGTCCTAAGACTCAATTGGTCATTGATAAATCTTGTATTGAAGATTTAAAGCTATTTCTCTTTTAATGACAAGATTAGTTTCTCAAATATTTTCTTGAAAGAAATTTTGAATTGGTCTTTTTGAAAGCTTAAATCTTGTTGACTCAATCCTTGTCATATGTTGGAGCTAGCCTCACTAGAGATATCTCCTCATGCGCATGTGCAGGCACTGGGGAGTGCAAGGCTAAATGATAAAGATGCAAGCTATGATATTCAGATGGGCATAAGGTGTAGTTCATGCAAACTTAAAGCTAGGAAAAAGAAGGTGGGGTGGTTTCTGTGTAATCAAAGAGTGGAAGCCAATGGATTAGGAGTCGTAAGTGGAGAGTGCTGGAAAACTTGGAAATTAGAAGGCTTAAAAGAGAGTTTGAGGCATTAAATGTTAAGGACAGGAAATAAAGAATTTAAATGGTGATTAAAAGTTAAAATCCAAGGGAATTGAAATTTGGGATTTTATGGGATGTTGAAAGCTGATAGCCTCTCATGTCATTTTTGGAAATTTCTGTGGATAGCTGATAAAAAAGAGAGAGAGAGAGAGGCATGCAGGCCTCAATTATCACAGAACTATGGTTGGCAAGGCGACATGATAACTTTTTCTCTGATCTCCTTTCATGATTTATGAAATTAGGAAAATTTTAGAGAGAGGAAGGTTGATAGGGTGTTGTGGCTTGAGGACCTTGCGCAAGTTCATTTGTTAAGAGATTTGATTGAGAAGCATGTACAAATTAAGGAGGATCTATATATGATATTTATTGATTTGGAGAGAACATATGATAAAGTTACAAGAAAAGTACTTTAGAGAATTCTAGGAAAAAGGAGTTAATAATACTTATATTCAAGTCATTAAAGATATGTAGACATGAGTAATTACTTGTGTTCAAACTCAAGGTGGTTGACCGAGTATTTTTCCTATTTTAGCTGGATTACATCAAGGATCAACTTCATGCCCATATCTTTTTATTTAGTCATGAATGTTCTTACTAGATATTCTTAAGAGGATGTACCTTGGTGTATGCTTTGTTGATGATATTCTTCTTGTTGATAAAACTAGAGAGGGAGTTGATGAAAAACTTAAATTATGGAAGTCAATCTTAGAGTCTAAAGTTTTTGTTTTAGTAGATCAAAAGCGGAATACATTGAATGTAATTTTAGTAGTAATAGATCTAGTGGTGGGATTGTGACATTGGGTGATTAAGTCACTAAAAAGAGTGCACATTTTAGATATCTTGGTCTATTGTTCAAAGCGATAGTGAAATAGATGACGATATTATTAGTAGAATTCAAGTTGGATGATTGAAGTGGAGGAATACATTAGGGTTGTTTTGTGATAGAAAAATATCTCTCAAACTTAAGAGAAAGTTTTATAAGAAGGTGGTGAGACTTGCAATGCTTTATGTTGCAGAATGTTGGTCATTAAAACGGGAATCATAAAATTAAGCTAAATGTTGCAGAGATGAGGCTGCTCAGGTGGATGAGTGGCTTTACACTTAGAGGCAAGATGCACAATGGGTATATTCATGAAAAGGTTGGAGTAGCCCGTGTGGCAGATAAGATTAGAGAGTCTTCTTAGATGGTTTGATCAATAAAAACTTCGGCCTTTCGATAAACCTTTTAGAAGAGTAGATGTATTAAAGTCGATATATATTAAGAAAGGTAAATGTATATATAAAAAATCTTGGTTAGAAAATATTAGAAATGACTTTTTTAATTAGATTTAAATGAGAATATGACTCTTAATATGGCAGAATGGAGAAAAATGATTCATGTAGCTGACCTCATGTAGTGGGATAAATGCTTGTTGTTGTTGTTCTCTAAGCACACCAGACAAATGAATAAAAGAGCGCATATGTATTCTATACTGATTAGTGTGTAAGCATGTCATGCGAGTGCATCATGCAAATGCATGCATAAATGCATCATGCAAATGCACTAAAAAGGGGGCATGAGTGCCAAAATCAAATTGCTCTTATAAATATGCTAACATCCAAATTTGAAAATCAAAATCTTGCACGGGCAATTGATTTATAAAGCCTACAATCATTTTTTTAATTTTACAAACTTTATTTTTTCTTTTCAAAATTTAGCTCTCTCATTTGATCTAATGAATGTGTTAAATGCTCAACTTAATGTCCAAGAATATTGTGAGGACTAAATAATATAAATATCAACTCAGCCACCTCAGTAAGCATGCAATTTTCTTGAGAGGTGCCATAATTTTTAAAACTCACTTGCTCTTTCTTTCAAAGTTAAACTCACAAATAAATAAATTTGCTCTCAAGTGGGCCATCTGTAGGATAAGATCGTTAGATTCACATTTCAAGTCTAAGTCTCCTCTTTATAGCGATTGAAGTTCATAAGACTTGAACTTTGTGATAGATTCTAACCTATACATCAAATTTAAAAGCCATGAAGATTATATATATATTTTTATGATGTAGAATGGAGGGGGGTGATAAAAAAAATTAAAGATTTAAAATTCCTTCTCAGATTTTCTTTAATTAATGTGTTTGAATTTGAAATTCAAATACGAAAAGATGGGAGGGAAGAGAGGAATTAATTATCTCCTTAATTGGGGCCTTTTATTAGGAAGGAAATAATTAAGATAGAGGGGAGAGAGAGGGCCGGCCAAGGAGGGAGGAAAGATGTCTAGATTCGATGTATGTGTCCACATACATTGAATAGGGGGAATTAAATTCAAATCCAATCATTTAATTCAGATTTGCACTAATTGGGAGAAATTTCTATATTTAAGAAAGACTTTAAAATTCAAATTCATTTGAATTTGAATTATGAAATCTTTCTAAATAAAATAGGGGCTAAATTTGGAAGATGATAATGGGGTAATTAAATGATTCTTTAATTAGAATCTTAAATTAAGAAAGGGATGAAAGACCTTTCAAAATTTAAATTTCAAAATTAAGAGATGAGAGGGAATTGTATAATTAATTTAAATTAATGAGGGAAATTCAAATCTTAAATTAATTTGAAATTCCCAAATTTCTTTGAATCAAATTAGGAAAGTAATAAAAGGATGATTGGGAATTGGAGCATTGGAGAATTGGTGGGGTCGCCAACGTCTAAGAGAAGATTTAGCCAACGGTTAAAGGGGAGGAGGAGGTGGCGGTTTATGAAAAATAAGAAAAAAAAAAAAGAAGATAAAACCGTGAGCCCGGACGTTTCATGTGGCTGACCGGTGATGCGTTGCCATTCACCAAGGGACTTCAAGCCATGAGTCCAGTCCCATCCTACGGCTGGTGGAAACTACGATTCCCTTCCATAGGGATCTCACTAAAGCTCTCCCAAGGAACCAAAGTGTAGAACAATTTTTTTTTTTAAACTTCATTATCTAATACAAGAGCAAGAACCTCTATATATAGGCCTTAAAAAAATTAAAATACAACTTTGACTCTTGGTCTTACATAAGACAAAATCATTAAGGGTAAAAATGGAAAATGCATAATTAAATAAAAAATACAATTAATAAATTAGGATAAAAATGGAGGGTCTCGGTCGTCGATCTTCGTCTCTTCCTTTGATTAACGTCCACCGTCGGATGTTCGCATCATTCTCCCGAGGTGAAAAAGAGTTCGACTCCGTCGAGTTCGCATCCCGGGCAACCATGCTCTGATACCAAACTGTTGTAGAACGAAGGGGGGTGGTAATAAAAAATTAAATGGGGTGCGAACTCGACGGAGTTGAGCTCATTTTCACCCCGAGAGAATGATGCGGACATTCAACGGTGGACGTTACTCAATGGAAGAGACAAAGATCAATTGCTGAGATCACTCCTTTTTTATCTTAATTTATTAATTGTATTTTGATTTAATTTTGTATCTCTTTTTTACCCTTATTTAAGAGTCTTGTCTTATGTAAGCCCAAGGGGCAAAGTTGTCTTTTTTTAATTTCTTTTGTTTTGAGGTTTATATATATAGAGGCCCTTGCTCTTGTATTAGAGGATGAATTATTAAAAAAAAGGTTTGCACTTGCGTTCTTTGGAGAGAACTTGAGTGAGATTTCTATAGGAGGAAATTTGAGCTTCCACCAGCTGCAAGATGGGTCCGGGCTCATGGCTTGAAGTCCCTTGAAGAAGGAAAATGTATTACTCATCAGCTGCAGGATGTGTTCGGGCTCACGGTTGTATCTTTCTTCCCTAAATCATTTTCTCCTTCTCCCTTGACCGCCGGGCAAAATCCCACTTGCCACCGGTCGATTCTCCCACAAATCCCTCCAAAGTCATAAGCCTCCTTCACTTTATCCATATCTCCTTCACTTTAGTGACATGCCACACAAACCTCGCACACTTAGATGCACAGCCTCTAGGCATGCTATGATTATAATTTTTCTTTTTTTACGTATGTGGTTAATGATTTGGTGTGATTGCCTTTGAATAGTCTGTGTTGTGTGCTCTTTCCCTTAAGTGGATAGTGTATAAATATATACATATTCTTCTTGTAGGTGGCTATGTCTAAAAGGAGGCACAATAAAATTATAAAAAAAATGCTTGCATGACAGGTGTTGCTTAAAACACCTCAACAGACATGGCCAATATGGTAGAAATAAGTGTTTGACATTTTAAGTGTTAAACAAACTCGGGATGTGACATGCTTACTTTATAAACTTTTTTTTGAACCTCTGTTTTGCAGCTTTTAATCTTTTTTTTTTAAATGTATTTGATTAGACTTAGGTTGTATTTTGACTTGTGGAGTTAGTCAGAGGAGATAGATCAAGAAGAATGTATTTATGTAAGGTGAAGCTTGAAGACCTCCCACAAGTAGGAGTTTGTAATAAATATTTAATTGAGTTGTATAATGATAGACAACTCATCTATCAAATTTGATTGTAATAACTCGAATATTATTCACATTTTATTTTAGTTGATTTATATATTCAAGCATATATTGATTGTTTATTGGGTGTGCAATAGCAGTATGTTTTTTCATAGATTTCTTTCTTGTTTTATTTAGGGGTGTCATGAACTTTTGATGCTGTAGGCTTTTAGGACAAAATTAAGATTTTTTATATATTAAAAATGTAAACAACATAAAATCAATCTAGGTTTCATGATTTTCAAATAAAAAAAATTTCATTGCTCCTTTCAAGGAGTCAAATTTTTTAAAACTCAAAATGATCATGCAGAAACCAGTTAGTCACATGTAGAACAACCTTCACTTAAGGATCATATAACAAAAAAATTGTATTTATAAGTCGACATTTTGTATACCACTCATGGTTAGACATCTTGGCATAATTGCCAAATTGTAAGTCATACTTTCTAAATAAAAATATCATACCTACACTTCATATGCTTCAAGACCGAACATCATGATTTTTAAAGTGATTAAGTGGGTTTAGCTGATAGTTTTTTTTGGTAGGGCAATAAATCCAGAAGTCAGTCTGGATATGTCTCATGTGAGGTGTCGTTTGAAAGTTGCACTCTGTTAAACTTATGTTTGAGGCACTATCCTTATGTAGCCCTCACTTTAGTTTTAGGGTCCGAGGCAAAAGTTGATTTCAATCACTTTGCAAGCTCTCAACTTTCAGACATTTCCTCCAACTCGTATTGTCGGAATGTAAGCACTAACATTCTAATTGAAATTGTCAACTTAAACAAAATTGGATTCCAAAATGTAAAGCCCAATATAGGATAGTCCGAGCACCTCTGAGATTTCTCAGAATCAAGTGTTCCTACATCACTCATTTGGCCCTTATTCCAAACTCCAATCAAAAGTTGATCCCCTTGATCATTTGAAATTCTTAAAGACCAAAACTCTTTAAAAGAAGAATTTCATGTATTTTAAAATCAAACTTTAGCCAATATTTGAATGATCTTCAAAAGATAAGAAAACTACTAGTTTATTCAAAAGTATTATCAAGTGTCAAATGCTTGAGATGTAATTAACCATAAGGACTTGCCCTTATGGGGCAACCGTATCTCAGAATAAAATAAATCTCATTCAACCAAATATTGAATGGGTGAAATTCTGTTAAAATTATAAATTTTGTTATTGAGTTCATAAGGGAATGATATTTTTATCCTTATGGGTAATACATCATCTTTCTTATGCCATACTCGATCATAAAATATTAAATCCGTTTGAGAATCACAAAATTTCTCTAACATGAAGCACGAACCGCAAGCACACTCAGGGAAGGTCGAAAGGAATGGAATAAATCCCCACTCTTCCTCACTCTCTCAGCTCTCTCCATGCGCGAAATCGACGCTCATGCCTGCTCGAGTGGATTCTGCCGCAAGATAGAGATTTTTGTTGTAAGATAAGGGATTTCTGGTACAGCTGCCTGCTGAAATAAGAATTTGACCGGAAAACGGCGGCAAATTTTGAAAATTTGGATAAATTTGAGCCGTTGGATGCTGAATCTGATTTAGAAAGGTCAATTATGCTGAGATTGGACCAATTGAGCTGAAATTGGGTCCGAATTGGACTCGTCCCGAAGCATTTGGGTTGATTTGGGTCCGATCAAATCAAATTTGCAAAATTAAACTTGAATAGGCTCCGAATTACGTCGAATTTGGTTCGACGAGGTTTGATTTGAACCGATTTTGGGTTGATTCGATCGATTTATGTCAATTTCAATTAATTTGATTTTAATTTGTTGAAATTGAATTTAATTTGATTAAATTGGGGTCCAATTTGAGTTAAATTTCACTCGATGGCGCTCCATCAAGTTGATCGAGCGCGATTGAGTCCAGTTGGGCTCGAATCGGCTTGATCAGGGTAAGGTCGGCACAAAATAACGTCAACACTATCAAAGGTCCCCATAAAAGAAATTAGCTGGACATAATCGATCGTTTTCACAGTGAAAGCATAGAAAAAAAGACGGGTTCTTACAACAGCTAAAATTAAAATACAGTCATAACTCTCGACTATCTATTACAGATATTGACATTGTTCAAGTGAAAATAATTGAATGGGATGAGTGCTAGAGCTCATTGAATAATTCCCCTAACGGAAGATCATTTGTGAAGAAGTCAACAATTGAGGAAGAAGGAGACTGGCCGCAATGGGTAATGGTTTTCCTCTCATCAAAGTCGCACAGTGACATGAAGCTGCAATAACATGATATGAGCTATTGATTTAAAGATGGGAGTATAGAAAACAATGAAATTGGAGGCACTTGTTAGTCAAAAGTAAAAAAAATCTGTTAGATAGAACTTTGTAAAATTCAGGTACTTCATATATTCCGTTTCTACTTTGTTGCGATAGTTAGCTTAAGACAAAGTAGTTAGCTTATTTTAACTTAAACAGGAATTGAAAAACTGGTTGAAGTGTTGAACTACTAATTGAGTGCAAAACACTTATCTGATCTGAAAATTAACATGCATAGTAAATAAAAGTAAACTTAAATTATAGAATTGTGTTCATTAATTACCAACTTTTTAAAGTTACATGCTAAGTAAAATACCTGTACCATACCAATTAATAAATTTTTTTAAACTTTATAAAGTATATCAAGCAGGAATGTATCAAGCAGGAATGCTAAGTAAAATACTTATTAAGGTCTGCTAATTAGCAGTTTTTTTAACTTAATAAATCAAAATAAAGCTCATAATATATAAACTAAAACAATTCTAATCAAAACCATGAATGATTGAGACTGTACAAACCATCATACAACATAAATCAGGTAAGATGGTATATTCCATAACAAAATCACACAAATGTTAGTGAGCAGTAAATATTCAATTCAAGCAATCCTCAAATTCATTTTTTTCCCCTTAAATTCCATCCTAACTTGGAAAGTATATAGCCAAAATATAATCAAACATGATGACAACAAAATCACTAATATAGGAAGTAACATAATCATTACTTTCCTGAAACTGAAATCACAAAATTAGTATCTCACAGATCTAGTAATATCTTCAAAGCTGACGTCTGTCCTGATTCTGTTTTGGATCTATACCTATAAGAAGAATATTGAAGAATTGGCATTTGATGTAATGTAGTCACAGTGAGCATAATAAAAGAAGTTTAATGACGTATCTGCTAGGTGTTCTCTCCCCAAAAATCGAAATTAGCTTGCAGCAGTTGTGATTAGTGAGGAGAAGAGTATGATGGCGGGATCGGCGGGGTATGAATGAGATGACGAGGAGATTGGTGGAATCCAGTTTTGCACTTGGGAAGAGGATGAAGATGGGGTTGGCTGTGGAGCGCGTATGGTTTTGAAGAAATGGAAGGATGATTGAGCTAGCAACAAATCTCTAGTCTAGCATTTTAGTCCCGCGCTAAAATCCTGTTAGGTTTGCATCTGGCGTAAATCCTTGATAAGTCCGGCTACCAAACAACACGTTGGTGTTATAATAACCACTAATCAATTATCTTTATTCTGAAAGCTAAATCTAGAGTGGGGTCTCTTCTCTGTGATTGTAATGCAATGAAAAAAAAAAGTGCTCTTAAAACACTATTGATATACCGGTAATTCTTTTGTATGGTCATTTTTTTTCTAATTTCTTGCTTGAAAAGTTCACAGGAATTTAAGACTGAGGTTTCTTACTGGTTAATTCTCCCTCCCTCCTTCAAATAAGTTCAGTTGCTGAGAAGTTTTTTGAGAATGGGTTTGACTGGCTTGAGGTATGTTGCCCGTGCTACTTTTTTCCTTGCAGTCTTGATCGAAAATCTTCAGTTTCTTGCCTACACATAAGCAGAGTTTCAGTTCTTACATGTCATTTTTTAGCTATATTTTTTTATCTTAAAATCTCATTTTTTTGTAGATACCTCATACTTAAATTGCTTTTTCTTATTGAAATGTCAACCGAAGCACCAACTATAAATGTATTACTAAAATTCACAATATATAGATGTTTGTAATAAATCTAATGCTAATGCAAAAGAATTTTGAGCTTTCCTAAGTATCGAATTACTTTGTAGGGGCATTTATATGTAACTACCGAAATTTTCCTTATAAAACTATCTTCAAAGTTTGTCCAACAAAACTATCAACTTTTATTCTTGATTTGTTAAATTCCGAATGCTTTGGTTGTATTGTGTGCAAATACATAAGCTTTGCCCGGCCATTCTATATAGTTCAATTGATAGTTTTGTAAATAAATAGGATTTTAGTAGCGCACACAAATTCTTTTCGTTAAATGTATGTTTTGCAATGTATATATATATATATATATACATATATAAATGTTTTGCAATATATGGTCATATAAACATCAGCAATTTGTAAAAGGTCTGGATAATTTTTTAAAACAAAAGGGAAGGATTTGAAACTTGGAAATCCCTATACGTCACTACTCAAGAATGCCAAAAAAATAATAATAATAAAAAAGATTGGTGCTGGAAGGTTGATTATTGTTTTTCTACTAGAAGGAAATGAGCATGGCACTTGCTGTTTGTTTCAATATTCTTTTGCTTGAGGAAGAATGACATTTTTAGATTTTATGGAGAAGTATGTGGGCTCCAAAAATTGGCGCCCCGGCCTCCCCTCTGCTTTCGGGAGAGTTTTAACGTATTAAGTTCCGGGGTAAATTTTGGGAAGACAGATTGAGTTTGTAGATAAGGAATTTTTATTGGGTGGAGTGCGGACGTAGTTCTATGTTCGCAATCCTGTAAAATCGCGGCATGTGGAGCTCACCATTACCCCACCATTCTAATAACCATGTGTTTTTTTTACAGCGCAGCCCGACGACCCTACCTGCCGTATTCAATGAAAAATTGAAAAAAAAATGCGGTAATACCAAGGGTTTTTGTTGACGGCGTCCTCACTTAAAACATGTATTCTCGTCATTTGAAAGTTGAGAAAGAGAAGAGAGGAAACTATGAAGATGGATACCGGTCTGGAGGACGTCGAATATTGCTCTGAGATGGAAGGCGTTGCGCAAGAGACCCAACAAAGTAAGAAAGAGGTTATGCAACAAATTATCGAAGATAAGTTGGAGATATTATCGGTAAATATGATACTTCAGTCTTTATTTTAATAATATTTCCTTTGAAACGTATTTTTGTTGGCTAATGTTGTTCGTATGCGGCCGTGTTTCAAAGATTGGTATCCCTTAGTACCGCTAGGTATCGAAGCTGTGTACTAGTGGGTACAATTTATTTTTTTTATTTCCAATGTTAAAATCGAAGTGTTTAATTAGTATTTCTTGTTCGTAGGTTGTCTGTAACAGTGAGAAAGAAGCATATGACAAGTACTGCCATTACGCTCATAATCTTGGTTTTAGTGTTCGCAAAGAACATCACTGTTACTGGCCTAATTCGAGAAAGATAAGATGCAAGGATTTTGTCTGTTCGAAAGCTTGATTCAAGAAGGGTATTGACTTGGACACCAAATCAAAATATAGAAAATCCAATACTAGGACCGGGTTTCCCACGATGATTAGATTTTCAGTTGACCTATATGGAGTATTAACGGTCAAAAAATGCATAGAGAGCCACAATCATGAATTAGATAGGCCTGAAGATCAACATTTGCTTATATCATGTAGGAATATTAGTGATGAGAAAACATTTGTTCTTAAATCAATGATGGAAGCTGAGATAATAACTATTGATGCATTTACATACCTAGCTGATGAAGTTGGAGGAAGAGAGAATGTATGATTCTCTAAAAAGGATGCATATAACTATATTCAGAATGAAAAAAGATCTAAGATGGAGAATGAGGACACAAATTCCCAAATTGAACTTATCAAATATAGAGTAATTGTTGATAACATGTTTGCATGTGATGTCAAATATGATGAAGAGGATAGATTGTTGATTTTTTTCAGGGTTGATGGGGTGGGGAAAATAGATTACGACTACTTTGGAGATGTGATCATTTTTGATACTAGCTATAGACTTAACAAGTATAATTAAGCATGTACACCTTTTGTTAGAGTTAATAATCATTGGCAGAATGTTCTTTTAGGGGTGTCATTTCTATCAGAGGAAATAATAGAATCATTTACATGGTTGTTCATAACATTCTTGCGAATTATGGGTGATAAACATTCAATTATAATATTTATTGATCGGGACCAGGCAATGGCTCGGGTAATAGAGATTTTATTACCTCAAACACGCCATAGGCTTTGCCAATGGCACATTACCAAGAAGGTGCCGTCCAAGGTGTGTTGCTACAACAACAAAAATAAAGTTAAGAGGCATCTTTTATAAATGTTTAAGCAAGTGTGATTCAGAGGAGTTTGAGAGTAGTTGGGCTGAAATGATCAATGAAGGGGACCGCCACAATCATGACTGGTTGAAAACTTTATAAAATAAGGAAGAAATGATCCACATCATTCAACAAGAGTTGTTTTAACCTTGGTATTCTTTCAACACAGCGTAGCGAATCCACTAACATGGTGTGCCACGGAATTTCTAAGCCTACGAGTACTATAACTGATTGTTTTTTTTTGGTTAGAGAAGGTGATAAAGGCATGGCGTCGGAATGAACAGGATTAAAATTTCAAATGTAGCCAGACTGATATTGTACATTTAGTTAAAAGTAGTCAAATACTCAAGCAAGTTGCTCGATTTTATTCACGGAAATTGTATTCATTCTTTGAGGAGTTTTTACTAGGTGTGGTTGGAATGTGCATAGCTCATGCCTCAAGCGACTTATCAATATTTTTCGTCAAAACTATAGACAAGATTGATCAGTCTCACCATTGGACTATTCATTTTGATGAAAAAGAGGATACCATTGAATGCAGTTGTGGAAAGTTCAGCATGACGAGCTTACTATGTTTTTACTGCTTGAGAGTAATAAGGAAGTTTGATATAATTAATATTCCTTTGAAATATCTACTTATGAGATGGTCAGCTCGAGCTAGAAAAGATATTTATTTTGGCCAGACGATGACATGTATGGGAAACAAAGTTACCCCATCTCACGGCTTAGAAGGTAAAATATTTCGAAATTATTTCAGTAGATTCACATATCAAATTAGCACAAGAGGGCAAGAGAATGAGAAAGCAGAACAATATATGTTAACTGCAATGACTGACATGGCTGAGAATGTTGATTTGATACTAGATGGCAAGAAGAACCATAAGTTCATTGCGAATTCAAGTATGACAAAAAAATTAAAAGACCAATTAAAGTGCAGGCCCAAAGGCATTTCTAATGTAAGATTGAAAGTCATTGAGAGAAGAAAAAATCTAAGAAAAAAAAAATTGAGGAACAACCTACTCCATCAACTGAACAATGTACACCAGTGGAACCAATTAGTCAAGTTATCTTTCCAAACATACCAGAATGCTTCACAGACGAGTTCATCCTTCGTCGACCAACCAGCCAGCTGAACCCTGAATATTTAAGGAAGATGAATGGAATAATTGATGCAGAGAGATTTCAATGATTTTTGAATATTTGTTAATTTGAATTTGTATTTGTTTGTTTAAATGTTACGCTGAGAAATCTCGGTTATGAATTTTGTAATGTTTGATATACCATACCGAATTTCCATATGTTAAGAGATTGTACAATTTAATCTGTGTTCTGCTATATATCGGCACCGCTCGGCACCACTCGACACCGTGCGATATCGAGCGGTACCACTCGGTACTGCTCGTCGGTACTGAGCGGTACCGCTTTCTCTAGAAGTTGGTACCAAGCGATATCGATTAGTAACGAGCCGCTAGGTATCACAACTCTGCATATTATCTCGGTACCACTAGGTAGCACTCGATACCATCCGCTTTCAGAAGTCGGTAACGTAGTAGTTAGAGGTCATTTGATATATTAACGTTGGTTTTTAATAACATTTAAAGTAAGTAGTTGTGGTGGTTCGCTTGTTTAAGATGGGTTGTGCTATTTACTATTCGTTAGTTGAACTTACAAGCTATATACCTTGAGGCAGTTTTGCTATTCCACATAATTCGATTATGGTCTATAAATTGCATTGGCCGGATGCTAAATTGCATCTAGGTATACCTATGAAAGATTTTGTCGAGATTGCCACCACTAGAATGCATGAATGTCTGGTTGCGGTTGCTGACTGTCATCTTGAGCAACAAGGGAAAATGAATGATTGATAAAGTCCTGGATGAATTTTGTTCTTCTCAGCTAGCAAAATGGCGAAGGCATCGATGTGGTTGTTATCCAGATATTAGTTAGTTAAAAGTTCGCCAATCTGACTTCTGAAAATATGAACGTTGCCTGCAGAATAAACAATGTCACCCCAGCAAAATAGAAGAGGTCAGCAACATATATTTTGGCATCCAGGTGTCGGTACCGAGCGGTACTGAGTGGCACCCAGTTGTTCAAAGAGGTTCTGAAGTAAGCAAGGTAGACTTATCTCTAGAGGTACTGAGCGGTACTCATCAGTAAATCGAAATACCAATTGGTACCTGGCGTTACCGCTCGTACCTAGCGATACCGAGCGGTCCGATTGATACCTAGAGAACCAAAATAACTTGTACCAAGTCTTTAAACTTATCAGTATACTTTCGAAGGTAGCTGTTGATGAAGATCCTCATTTCATCATTTATTATTGCCCTCCCAGGATAATCTAGTTCTACTGCATCTAGCCTTGGTTAGGGTGATTTTATGGTTTCAACATCGATTGCAGGAGTTGTATTGCATTCTTCGCAGGAGAAGGCCTTGCAACGACTTTTTTCATTATATTCTTTCT